TGTGGACACGAGAATTATTAGAGGACACTGCTTGCCAAGTAAGCTTTCGGTCCTTGGGGTTAATCCCCCGTTTGTTCCACCAGACTTCGAGGGAGGATGGTACTTTTATATGGTATGTGGATATGACTTGCTATATGTTGCATGTATATGTATGTATGTTTGTGTGTCACATAAGACGGTGTTTTCTTGTGTGAGGTATAAGATGGTGTTTCCTTATGTATAGTATGAGACAGTGTTTCCTCATACGGTATGTTGCAAGACAATGTTTCCTTGCGTAATGCATACTTGTTATATTCTCTGGCCAGTAGGATTATGTTATGGCACACTGCATTGTCATACATATTCTGATGCATGCATGGATTTTTATACTGTGTTTATACCAAAAGTGAGCTTAGGGGTGGAGGAGCCCTCCAAGGGTCCCTAGCTTACTAAGGTAATTATATTATCTCAGCCCGTGTTATGGGGATCACCATTTCATGTACAAGAGCTGATGGTGCTGAGGCTTCGCGTGTCAAGAGGCCAGATGAGAGATATTACTTGACATGATTGTCAGGGTCTTATAGATATTAGATTTGTACCTGACATACCATATTTTGAGTTGTAAATTCCATGTATTTTTTTGAGAGCATAGGAGATGTCTATGCCATGTCGATAGTCTGTATATGCTGTTAGTTATGCATGCTCAGGTCTATGTTACTTATTTAATTGCATCTCTTTTATTTATTTGATGTAATTATATAAGTAACATCATTGACATTATTTTGAGACAGTGTGATATTGAGATAGCTTATGCCATGGATGGCTGGGTAATATGGTATATGTCTGGATTATATTAAACTGTCAATCAGGTTGAAATTATCATAGTGGAAATTATCCCCAGTAGTCCAAAATACAGAAGAAATGCTGTCCGTTTTATTTTGGCCATTGAAGTAAAAAGGTTTGCAATACATAAGGAAAAAGGAAAAAATTATTTAATTAGCTTCTGCAATAATTAAGTTGAGCATGCTGCGCTTATTATCATATAAATATTAATTAACCGGCGGCCATTACATTTTATGGTGGCAAATATCCAACTTTTGTGTTGGCAAATAATTGACAGATAACAATTATATTGTGAGTCAAGGCGACATTCCGGATAGGATAAGGCAATTTTTTATTGCTGATTGAAACTAATATCAATAATGTTATTCAAATTGAACCTACCCGGCCGTCCGGATCGGGAATCGAATTTTTAACCAGTTCACTTTAATTAATTAACTGATTAGGCATATAATTCGGTTAAAAATCAATGAATGTGTCAAAAATTTTAATCGGTACCAAAGAAAGGAAAATGACATGCCAATTAATAAGTCAAATTATTTTGATTGTTATACTATTTTTTACTTATGTATTTATTTTATGTTTTTTTTTGTATTTATCATATGGGGACATCTTTTGATATTGATATTAAATTAAAAAGTTTGACATCAAATCTTAATTATTGATTTCATAAATATAATTATTATAATTTATTAGTTTACACGTATTAATTAATTATAATTTTGAATAAATTATTAATTAATTATTAATTTCAAATAAATTAAAACAGTTAGATTATAAGAAATAAATAATTAAGATTTGCTGTTAATTTTTTTTTTATCATATGGGTCGATCTTTTGATATTGATATTAAATTAAAAAAATTGACATCAAATCTTAATCATTAATTTTATAAATATAATTATTATAATTTATTGATTTATACTTATTAATTAATTAGTAATTTTGAATAAACTATTAATTAATTATTAATTTCAAACAAATAATAACAGTTAAATTATAAGAATAAATAATTAAGATTTGATTTTAAATTTTTTAATTTGATATCAAATTAAATTTTTTAATTTGATATCGGTATTAAATTTTTTTATATAAATTAAATTTAGGTCTTTCCGCTCCTCGAATCATAACTGCCACAATCGTGGGAGGAAACCGCAATTATCATGCGTGGAAACCACATCACGGAGAAAGCCAAGGGGCAAGGGCATTACTGCCAATTCACCTCAAAAAACAATGATTAGACAACTGAAACGATGCTGCAATACATGCGCACGAAACGCAATGACGGCATAGAACGGCTGCAGCACGCTAAAGCCTGCTGGCTGTACCACGTGGCAGAAGGCAATGAGTACAATTCATAAACCAACAGATAAGACAAGATGTATACGCATGCAACTGTCAACCGGGTTAAATGCTGACGCTTGGGGCGATTCGATAGTCAAATCAGGACTACTAAAGCGCATCTGTTACCCGGTTACTACATAAATGCCTCGACGGGTTCATGCACAACCCGTCGACCAAGTAAGCAGGCATAAAGACTTATTCCGAGTAAAGATATAACGCTTGAGGGCAACCCGCCAGTTGGATTCCAACAACTTAAGCGTATCCCTAACCCGGAGTAGGAACATGGTTGATGCTCAACCTGCAAAGATATGCAGGGAAGGAAAATGGAGATGGATATGGCATAAGCCAAGAACTCAGAATAAACATAAATGCTGACGTTGAGGGACAACGCGACCGTAGGATCCCGGCAGCTCAAGGTTATACCCGACCCAGAATGTGGGAGTACGAGAAATATCTCACCGGGTTGATGCTCAACCCGTCGACATAAGGGGGCAAAAAATTCCAGAATATGAGGAGCATGCAAAGTTTGCAAAAACGCAAACACGTTTAGGGGCAAAAACCCGAAGAGATGCACACATAAGTCCACCCTGATTACCCGGATGCCCAGGTAGCCGGGCTGAGGGGCAACTGTTATGGACTCATATAAGGGGTCCATCAAGTGGTAAGCCCAACAAAGGGCAATCCAAGATATGAATCAATATTAATAATGGACAAGGATACTAATCCTAATACGACAGCATAGCAAGCAGGCTTGGGCCCTTATTAGAGGCACCAAAGGCCCATCCACATTACCCACATGTAACCTCTATAAATACAAGGTAAACCCTAAAGGTACGTTACGCTCTCTCTTATTGTTATGTTATCGCTGTGCGCATGCACACACCCCATTGGCTAACACCGTTATAGTATTTTGGGCACAATGATTTGCTTGACTTAAGGGTATCTCATTCATAGATACCTTGAAGATATGGCACTAGATCCAAGAGAAACATACCAGTCTATTGGGCTGGACATCTCTGTCTCAAGGACAGAACAAAAACTATTGCGATTTTGATAAATGCACCGATCATAAAAATAATAAAGTGTTTAAGTAAAAGATTGTTATCAAGGATTACATTTCAACTATTAATTTACTATTTATGATTAAATTAAATAATTGATCAAGATAATTTAACGAAGACAAAGTTCGATTTTTTTCAATCTCCCTTTTATGTTCTGAATTAAAATTTGAGAAAAATGTTAGTCCTTTTAAATGACACAATTTATGTCATTTCACTCTCACAAAGAAGTGAGACCCACACTTTTATATTTTTTTGTTCACTCTCTCTCCTCCTTTATCTATCTCTTTCTCTCACTTAAAATGACATAACTTTACATCTTTTAAAATTATACACACTTTTTTCTTAAAATTGTAATTAATCGCCCTTTTTATATTGCCCATTAATTTTTTTAATTTAGTTAAAATTCAATTTAATTTGGAATTATGCATATAATAAAGTATTATTAAGGGTGTATATTTGAGGAAGAAAACCGGTTTCTTGCTCCGTGCAAGCTCGTGCGTGTATCACAAAATTCAAAGGCCATTTCTTTTATTGTACTGCCTGCCATGTAGTGGGCATTGCACTTATCATCTATGAATTCTTTTGAAAAAATCCAACTTTTGTGCTGGCAAATAATTGACAGATAACAATTATATTGTGAGTCAAGGCGACATTCCGGATAGTATAAGGCAATTTTTTTATTGCTGATTGAAACTAATATCAATAATGTTATTAAAATTGAACCTACCCGGTCGTCCGGAGCGGGAATCGAATTTCTAACCAGTTCAGTTTAATTAATTAACTGATTATGCATATAATTCGGTTAAAAATCAACGAATGGGTCAAAAATTAAGTTTAATCGGTACCAAAGAAAGGAAAATTGCATGCCAATTAATAAGTCAAATTATTTTGGTTGTTATACTATTTTTACTTAGGATTTGATATTTGTCATCTTAAATAATATAAATTATGTTATTTTATGAGAAAAATAGACACAACACAAGAAATAAAAATCATGGAAGAGTAAGTGAGTGATTTTTTTTTAATTTAAATTTTTAAGAAAAAATAATTTTTGTCTCCTAAAATGACATAACTTTATATCATTTAAAATGACAAACATTTTTCTCTTTTATTTATGTATTTATCTTATGTATTTTTTTATTTATCATATGGGCAGATCTTTTGATATTGATATTAAATTAAAAATTTTGACATCAAATTTTAACTATTAGTTTCATAAAGATAATTATTATAATTTAGTGGTTTATAATTATTAATTAATTAGTAATTTTGAATAAATTATTAATTAATTGTTAATTTCAAATAAATTATAACAGTTATATTATAAGAAATAAATAATTAAGATTTGATGTTAATTTTTTTTTATTTAACATATGGGAAAATATTTTGATATTGATATCAAATTAAAAAGTTCGACATCAAATTTTTACTATTAATTTCATAGAGATAATTATTATAATTTATTGGTTTATAATTATTAATTAATTAATAATTTTGAATAAATTATTAATTAATTATTAATTTAAAATAAATTATAACGGTTAAATTATAAGAATAAATAATTAAGATTTGATGTTAAATTTTGTAATTTGATATGGGTATTAAAATTTTTTATCCTATTTATTATATTTTTTTATATAAATTAAATTTAAGCATTAGTTAGAATCACTAACTATTCACATGATATAACCCGACAGAGTCTATGGTTCGGGTTGATATGAACGACTTTGTTGTTTGACTCGAGACAACTTTGTTTTTCAGTCAGAGATCTTAGATACTCTCTCTCTCTAAGCAGTTTCTGGCTATCTACAAAGGAAACAGATGGTGTGAATGGTTTGTATTGGTCAATTTATTTTTATCACTGTGTATATTTTTCTCTTTTTATCACTGTCACTGGTAGAAGAGCACGCAACAATACCTTAGTTTCCCCCTTCAATCCAATTACTTGTCTAGTTTCTTTCCTGTAAACCTAATTAGAAAAGTAGGGACTTGAGCGACGAACCAACTTCGAAAAGAGACACGAATCTTGGACTCTATATAAGTTCGCATTGTTGTCTGATATTGGAGACCCAACACTCTTTTCATTCTCATACTAAACTTCCTTCTCATGGATTTGTCAGCATCATCCTCTTCCTTCAGCTATGAATTCAACTACGATGTGTTCCTCAGCTTCAGAGGCACTGACACACGTTACGGTTTTACTGGCAATCTCTACAAAGCTCTTTGTGATAAGGGAATTCGCACCTTCATTGATGACGAGGAGCTTCAGAGAGGGGATGAAATCACACCATCACTTGTCAAAGCCATTGAAGAGTCCAGGATTGCTATCACTGTGCTCTCTGACAACTATGCATCTTCTTCATTTTGCTTAGACGAACTTTCCAACATCATTCACTCCATTAAGGGAAAGGGTCGGTTGGTTTTGCCGGTTTTTTATGACGTGGATCCTTCAGATGTGAGACATCAGAGAGGGACTTATGGTGAAGCATTGGCTAGCCATGAGGAAAGGTACTTCAATGAGAACAAGGAGAAGGTGCATAATTGGAGGAATGCTCTGCATTCAACAGCTAACTTGTCTGGCTTCCATTTCAAGCATGGGTACCCTCTCCGTCCTTTTACCTTATTTTATTTTATCTTAATTTTTCTTTATCTAATTATTTAAATGTTTAAATTTTAAAGTGGAAAGACATGCTTGCTTACCTTGAAGAAATTACACCATTCTATATTGAACAACTTAATTGTAACAACATACGTATCAAGACATGGATTTGAGACATTTAATTTTACTTTACACAAACTTTCCAATTGATCAGGGATGGATACGAATATGAGTTTATTGGGAGGATTGTCAAAGAGGTCTCCAACAAGATTAATCGTGTTCCTTTACATGTTGTGGATTACCCAGTTGGACTAGAGTCACGAGTGCTACATGTAAAGTCGCTTCTGGATGTTGGATATGATGATGGGGTCCACATGGTAGGGATCTATGGTATAGGTGGTATTGGTAAAACCACACTTGCTCGAGCTGTTTATAATTTGATTGCTGACCAATTTGATGGTTTATGTTTTCTTCATGATGTGAGAGAAAATTCAGTTAAACATGGCTTAGAACATCTCCAAGAGACGCTCCTTTCTAAAATAGTTCAATTAAACATTAAGATAGGAGATGTCAATGAAGGAGTTCCAATAATAAGGCAAAGATTGTGCCAAAAGAAGGTTCTTTTGGTTCTTGATGATGTTGATGGATTGAAGCAATTACACGCTATTGTTGGAAGACCTGATTGGTTTGGTCCTGGTAGCAGAGTCATCATCACAACTCGGAACAGCCAGTTACTAGCATGTCATGACGTGAAAAGGACATATGAGGTGAAGGAGTTGAATCAGAAAGATGCTCTTGAATTGCTTCAATGGAAAGCTTTTAAAACTGACAAGGTTAGTCCAAGTTATGTGGATGTTATAAACCGTGCAATAACTCATGCTTCTGGCCTTCCACTCGCTTTAGAAGTAATAGGTTCCAACTTGTTTGGAAAAAGTATAGAAGAATGGAAATCTGCATTATGTCTGTATGAAAGAGTTCCTAATGCAGAGATCCAAAAGGTACTTAAAGTAAGCTTTGATGCTTTGGAGAAAGAAGAGAAGGGTGTTTTTCTTGACATTGCTTGTTGCTTCAAAGGCTTTGGATTGATGGAGGTGGAGAATATACTTCATGCTCACCACGGTCACTGCATGACATATCACCTTGGAGTGTTGGTTGAAAAGTCTCTCATAAACATTAAGTATGGTGTGTTGACACTTCATGACTTGATAGAGGACATGGGTAAGGAAATTGTCCGACAGGAGTCACCTAAAGAGCCTGGGAAACGCAGTAGATTGTGGTTCCATGAAGATATAGTTCAAGTTCTAGAAGACAATACGGTAAGACTGACATGATTGGTTTGGTTTTTCATCTTGATTTGTCTCTTTCACTATTGGCTTTAATAGCTCTCATGTCACTGCAGATGGGAAAATGTGCAGCAACACTTATTTCCATCAGGATACGGGTCCGTATCCTGATGTGTTTTTTTGTTTTTTTTAGGTCAGGATACGGCTCCGTATCCTAGTGTTAATAGTTTGCTGCAACTTTTCTCATCAGCAGCGGCAGCAGAAACGAGGAGCCCTTCACTATTATATGCTAATGACAAGTCATTTATTCCTTTGTTTACAATCTTTTGTTGACAGTATTAGTTCACAATGCTTTCCCTTTATAACATGCATATCAATGTCCCAACACACGTAATTTGTTTTGTGACTGACTGTTGCTTTTTGTGTTTCTAAAGGGAACTAGTAATATTGAAATCATATATCTAGATTTCCCAAATTTCGAAGATTTAGTGAAGTGGGATGGAAAGGCCTTCAAGAAGATGATAGGGCTAAAAACACTTATTATTTTAAATGGTCAATTTTCGGAAGGTCCTAAACAATTTCCAAACAGTTTGAGAGTGCTAGAATGGTGGGGATTTCCTTCACAGTCTTTACCATCTAATTTTCATCCAAGGAGACTTGCCATACTCAGGTTACCTAAGAGTTCCATAATGTCACTCGAGTTGGCCATGTTACAGAAGGCAAGTATAATAATATATCAATAAATTCATTTTATGATTATTTATTTGATTCTTGTTTCATTCTCTTTTTTTCTTTTTCTTTTTCATTTTCAGACGTTCGTGAATTTAAGATGTTTGAATTTCCTGTGTTGTAAATTTATAAAAGAGATACCTGATGTATCTGGTGTCCCAAACTTAGAAGAAATATCACTTGCAAACTGTGGGAATTTAACTAAAATTCATGAATCGGTTGGATTCTTGGATAAACTTAGAATCTTGAATGCTTTTGGTTGCGACAAGCTTAGGAGTTTTCCACCTTGCATCAAGTTGACCTCTCTTGAAGTACTGAATCTTTCATGTTGCAAGAGTCTTGAGAGTTTCCCAGAAGTATTAGGAGAGATGGAAAAAATAACAATGCTTTGGTTTTATGACACTCCCATAAAAAATTTTCCATTTTCAATTCGAAATCTTATTCGGCTACAAAAGGTGGAACTCGTTCCTTGTAGACTGGGTCAGATAGAACTCTCAAGCAGCATTTGCATGTCACCAGAACTTGAGGAGTTGGAAGTTCGGCATTGTAAAGGGTTGCAATTATCTGAACAGGATGATAGCGAAGAGAAACTCAGCTCAAACGTGAAAATGCTTTGTCTCAAAGGCTGCATGATGTCAAATGAATCCCTTCAAATAGGTCTCGCTTGGTTTGCCAACGTGAAAGAGTTAGACTTGTCTAAGAGTAATTTCACAATTCTTCCGGCATGCATCAAAGAGTTCCACTTTTTGAGGAAACTATACTTGGATAATTGCAATAATCTTCAAGAAATTGGAGGAATTCCACCCAACTTGGAAATTCTCTCTGCCAAAAACTGCACATCCTTGACTTCCCAGTGTAGAAGCATGTTCATGAATAAGGTTCCTTTTTTTATTAAGTTTTTGATTTTATATTTGATATTCGCATTGATTCAGACTCGACGTATATATATATATATATATATATATATATATATATATATATATATATAATTTGCTAAACCCATAAAATTATATATAACTAACAGGAAATGCATGAGGCTGGAGGCAAGAAGTTTTGCTTACCTGCAACGAATATTCCCGAGTGGTTCGAGCATCAGAGGAGGCGACTTCCAATTTCTTTCTGGTTTCGCAACAAATTCCCTGCCATATCTCTCTTTCTTGTTGCTGAATTAACTCCCCACCTCCAATTGATCCTCAATGGAGAGAAATATGAGCCATTTATTATTCCGAGTCGTTCTAAAGGTGTCCCAAATGATCATATAGTAATTTCTGATCTAAAACGTTTATTCTTTGATGAGGACGAGGACGAGGATGAGGGTGAGGATGAGATGCTTTTAGAAAATGAATGGAATCATTTGGTGCTTTCTATTGATATTGATCATGAATTTGAACGGAAGCCCATCAATCCGGTGTTGAGCTTACATATTGGATTCCACGTATTCAAAGAGAAAAGTAGCATGGAGGATATCAGATTCAACGACCCTTATATCAGCATGTTGCTAGGAGAAAAGCATAGACTGGACACGCTAGTTTCTGAGATGCATACAAGTAGCACCACCAGTGTTCCAGGTAAATACTAAACATGCTAATTTTATGCAGAGATGGAGATTTTGAGAGACTGATTTTTTTTATTTTTTTAATTTATGGTAAGAAACACATTCAGACTCAGATTTTGATATTTTAATTAAAATTTAAACCAATTAGGTCAATTAAAATGTCCAAAGAAGGGTGGTATTCTTTTCTTTGACGTGGATGTTTGATATATTTTAGAGCATTGACAAAGGCTTTGTAGTGGTGATTGAACCCAGCTTTCCTTGTTACTAAAAGATCTTTTACTTGGAGATTTTTCAGTGACTAGAGTTTGGTTTCCCTACACTACTATGCAGTTACTTTGGTAAAAATATTGTAGAATTGATAGAATATCTTCAATCTAGCAAGAGAAAAGGTGATGATGAGTACCTCTATGAATAGTAGTTGAAACTAAACAATGACATTGAGAATCAGCACATAGAAAAGGAATAACATTCAGTTTCCATCAATCATCAAATCCCAGAAAGCCATGAAATGGTGAATAACGAGAAAACAAAAGGTGTAGTAAACAACAAACACCATGCGGAAAAACAAAGGAGGGAGCTTCTTGTTAAAGAAGGGAATGTTGTTCATTTTAAATTGCAATGACAGAGACCCAGCAATAAAAAAATTGGAAGAGAATAATGAAAAGACACGCTTCACCAATAGACCCATTACCTCAATAAACACCAATTACACCACCAATAACAACTAATAAAGAAACCATCAATGAAGACTCATCACAACACCTATTCAATTTTCTAACTGACACAAGAAAAACAATAGAAACAAAGAGACTTCTAAACACTGCTGTCAATCAGTCCATGTAAAATTGATGGCCAGACAAGAAATTCTATGATATTAATGGTTAAAGTAATGTTATTCTATGGTGTTTCTACCTTCACTACCAATTTTAATTGCTCTGGTATTTCTTGTGTTGCAGATACCGATTCCGGCAGAAAATTTGTAGGTCCTCTAATAGAAACACACCAAGAACCTGTTGTTACAAGAACCTATGAGGACCATGACCGAGAGCTAATGCTTCTGAAGAAAGGAAAAAGAAAATTAGATGAGAATGGAAATCTTGCGCTGGTATGCCTAAAAGTTTTGCTTTTTTTCAACTTAGCCAAGTGACCTCGTTAACCTTGTATCTTACCATTTCAAATTTATGCTCTCAGGAATCATGTACCGTTGCACCAACTGAAGCAGAGAACAGTTTTCAGTCACTTCTGCAAGACACACTAGAGTTTCTCTCTCGTTACTATGATGGTAGTGAAATAACCCAGGAAGAGTTGCCTCTTCTGTTACAACCGAGACATTCTGCATTGATGAAAGATACTCTAGAGTACCTCCTCAGTTTGCGAACGGATGCAGTTTCTCATGGAAAAAACATTGAAATACTGGAACTTTTAGAAATTTTTGCTCAGTTGAGTTTGGATTATAAAAATGCAAGGCTGAAATGTGAGTTAACAGCTGCTGTTCTATCAAAAGCTAAAAAAGTTAAAAAGGATATTGAAGCTAATGTTGAAGACTTGGGAGAAGTGGAGACATTGGAAAACTATTTCAACAATCAGTTGGCCTGTTTGCAGGAAAGGAATGGAGAACTAGAAGAGCAGATCAAAGACATAAAAGCTGAGATTTCATATTTGACACAAGACACAGACGCTATTGCTAGCAATAAAAGATTGCCTCAAGCTGAAAGCGATGACTGGAGCAACCAAGTGACAAGGCTGAAGGTTGAGCTGGACTTGGCAGAGGAAACACAAGCTAATATTGAAGAGGATTGGTTCCAATATGGAGAATATTTAATTGACATCATGTATAGTGAGAGTGAGAGTGAAAGTGAGAGTGAAACCTGTGAGACCTGTGAGTGTGAGAGTGAGAGTGAAACCTGAGAGTGAGAGTGAAACCTGTGAGAGGGACCTACGTGCTGGGTGGTGGGTCTGATTGAAACATGTATAATGATTTTTTTTTTTTTTTTTTGCTTTTCAGGTATGATGGCCAAATTGTAACTTTATATATCAGTTTGATATTATTATTTTTTTCTCATAAATTTATGTTTATTGCTAAATTCCTTATTACTCTCACCGAAACGATTACACACACAATTGCAAAAAAAGAGAAGAGAGAATGGAGCAAATTATCGCGATTTTGGTAAGTGCATCGATGGTAAAAATAATAGAGTGCATACGTAAAAGATTGTTTCGACAAGAATTATATTTTAATTATTAATTTATTATTTATGCTTAAGTTAAATAATTGATTAAGAGAATTTAATGAAAACTAAATTAAATAACAAAATAAGAACGCAAAAGATAAGGCTCTGTTTGAATACTGTTTTCAAAAACAGTTTTTTAGTTTTTAGAACAAAAAAACTCGTTTGGTAAGGTCTGTTTTGTAAAACAAGTTTTAAAAACTGTAACTGTTTTTTTTGTTTTTAGAATCAAATTTAGAGAACATGTCTGAGTTATTTTTGTTTTCTGTTTTGATTTTTAACTTTCAAAATAAAAAAAAAACATAGAAAACAACTGTTTCCATAATTATTCTACAAAACAGTTTTAAGAACAAAAAAACCAAAACACAATCAAACAGACCCCAAGTAATTTGATAATCAAGAAACACACTTAGGTGTTCGATTTTTTTCAATCTCTCTTTTATGTTTTGAAGTAGAATTTTAATTAATAGTCTTTTTTATATTACCCAATAATTCTTCAAAATCAGTTAAAATTCAATTTAATTTGAAATTATGCATATAATAAAGTATTGTTAAGGGTGTATAATTGAGGAAGAAAACTGATTTCTTGCACCGTGCAAGCTCGTGCGTGTATCACAAAATTCAAAGGTCATTTCTTATATTGTACTGGCAAAACGACCGTACTACGGTCAATTTTCAAAAGTATCTCCAGTTGATAATACATTTGAAAAATATGACCATTGTAGAGCAGTCAACCGCATAAGTTGACTGACGGATTCAGTCCCGCCATGAACAGTGGCGGCACACTATGCCGCTTAAGCTACGTGCTTCGAACGCTCCTGCTCCCGCCATGAAATCTGACGCATTGCAAACCCGTCAGTCAAGCTAACGCGTTCCAGACGTGTGACTCTGCTGGGTCAGGCCATTCGGGACTGTCTTGTGTCAGAACGACTCCTTCTTCCTTTCTTCTTTCTTCATTTCTGAGTTATCTCTCTATCTCCTTCGCGTCTTCGTTCTCCATTTTTGAGTTTTGTCCATTTGTGCTACGCGTTGCATCTTCGCCCCTTGTCCTCCGTTGTGTTCGTTGCTCATTCTCCCTTGTTTTGATATATTTACGAATCAAGTGGCAAATTTTAATACGCTAAACACTGTTTTAATTATTCTGTAATTAATGACTGCTGATAATAATACATAACAACCTAAGAAAAACCTATTGAGCTAAATAAATAATCATTAATTGTTAATTAAAAAATTAAATAGTAATAAATATTAGTCTTATATGTAAATATTTACTAAGTTAGTAATTTACGGTTTTCATGAGTGGTAACAATTAAAATGGTAATAACTAATTTAATTATGTTGCAATTAGTGATTTAATCATAATAAATAACACAGTAAGAAAACACCTAGTAAGATTTATATAGTAATCAATAGTGTCATAATTCATCATTAATCATGTTATTGAATAACTTTTCAAATTTAATTAAATAATGAACAGAATTTTTTTTTTGCAGTTACTGCATATAAGTTATCTACATTTACTCCCAAAACGACGTCGTTTTGGGATTAAAATATTAAAAACCTATAATTATAAAGACTATAATAACCTTGAAATAAATTAAAATACAAAAGTACCATGATTTTCACCCAAAAACGACGTCGTATTGGACTTAATGCAGATAAGTTATCTGCAGTAACAGCAGAAAAAGCGAACCCAAAAAATATTTTTGGACAAGCCTACGCATAGAATAATTTTGCCTCAATTAATTAATAATCAATTTAATTTGTCTTTTGGTAAACAATATACAATGTAATTATGATGTAGTAATTTAAAATAATGTTTTAATTAATAGTAATTGTATTGTAATTTACAATGCCATAAAACTTAACTGTAAGAAAAATAAGTAATAAATATTGAAAATTGTAAACATTAATCTTTAATCGTAATTTTGATTTATTATATTAGTAATGATTAAACTCATAACAATTGTTTTAAGTATTATGTAGTTACATATGTAAGTTTAGTAATTCAAACCCTAACAATTTGATATTATAAGTTAAATTATTAATTTTTAGTTATAAATTAAATAATTGAATAGTCAGTATAATGAGGTGGTGACTGGTGGCTGACGGTTTTGGTCACGTTGGTTGCTTAACGTGTTCATTTACGTTGCTTAACGCGTTCATTCACGTCATTAGGATTGACGGGTTTGTTGTCGTCTGATTTCTTCACCAGTTCCAAGAACGCAGCTTAGGTGGCATGGTGTGCCGCCAGTGTTCATGGCGGGACTGAATCCGTCACGATTGACTGCTCTACAATAGTCATACTTTTCAAATGTATCATCAACTAGAGATACTTTTAAAAATTGACCGTAATACGGTCGTTTTGCCATATTATACCACCTGCCATATAGTGGGTATTGGACTTATCATCTATGAATTCTTTTGAAAGTATCCAACTTTTGTGCTGGCAAAGAATTGACAGATAACAATTATATTGTGAGTCAAGGCGACATTCTGGATAGGATAAGGCAATTTTTTATCGCTGATTGAAACTAATATCAATAATGTTATTCAAATTGAACCTACCCGGCCGTCCGGATCGGGAATCGAATTTTTAACCAGTTCAGTTTAATTAATTAACTGATTATGCATATAATTCGGTTAAAAATCAATGAATGGGTCAAAATTAAGTTTAATCGGTACCAAAGAAAGGAAAATGACAAGCCAATTAATAAGTCAAATTATTTTGATTGTCGTACTATTTTTACTTATGTATTTTTTTATTTATCATATGGGCAGATCTTTTGATATTGATATTAAATTAAAAAGTTTGACATCAAATCTTAATTATTGATTTCATAAATATAATTATTATAATTTATTAGTTTATACTTATTAATTAATTAATAATTTTGAATAAATTATTAATTAATTATTATTTTCAAATAAATTAAAACAGTTAGATTATAAGAAATAAATAATTAAGATTTGATATTAATTTGTTTTTTATTATTTATCATATGGGCAGATCTTTTGATATTGATATAAAATTTAAAAATTTCACATCAAATCTTAATCATTGATTTCATAAATATAATTATTATAATTTATTGGTTTATACTTATTAATTAAGGATAAAGTATGTGTTATTTTAAAGAATATAAAATTGTATCATTTTAATAGAGAGAAAAAGATAGATAAAGAAAGAAATATAGTTAAAAAAAAATAAAGGTGTGGGTCACACCTCTTTGTGAGAGTGAAAGGATATAAGTTGTGTCATTTAAAATGATAAATATTTTTTTCATTAATTAACTAGTAATTTTGAATAAATTATTAATTTAAAATAAATTATAACAGTTAGATTATAAGAATAAATAATTAAGATTTGATGTTAAATTTTTTAGTATCGGTATTAAATTTTTTTATCCTATTTATTATATAATTTTATATAAATTAAATTTAAGCAGTAGAATCACTAACTATTTACCTGATATAACCCGACTGAGTATATGGTTCGGGTTGATATGAACGGCTTAGTTGTTTGACTCGAGAGACAACTTTGTTTTTCAGTGAGAGATCTAGATATTCTCTCTCTCTCTCTCTATAGCAGTTTCCGTGTTGTTTCTGGCTATCTACAAAGGAAACAGATGGTGTGAATGGTTTGTATTGGTCAATTTATTTTTATCACTGTGTACTACCTTTCTCTTTTTATCACTGTCACTGGTAGAAAAGCACGCAACAATACCTTAGTTTCCCCCTTCAATCCAATACCTTAGTAAACCTAATTAGGAAAGTAGGGACTTGAGCGACGAACCAACTTAGAAAAGAGACACGAATCTTGGACTCTATATAAGTTCACATTGCTGTTTGATATTGGAGACCCAACACTCTATTCATTCTCATACTAAACTTCCTTCTCATGGATGTGTCACTATCATCCTCTTCCTTCAGCTATGAATTCAACTACGATGTGTTCCTCAGCTTCAGAGGCACTGACACACGTTACGGTTTTACTGGCAATCTCTACAAAGCTCTTTGTGATAAGGGAATTCGCACCTTCATTGATGACGAGGAGCTTCAGAGAGGGGATGAAATCACACCATCACTTGTCAAAGCCATTGAAGAGTCCAGGATTGCTATCATTGTGCTCTCTGACAACTATGCATCTTCTTCATTTTGCTTAGACGAACTTTCCAACATCATTCACTCCATTAAGGGAAAGGGTAGGTTGGTTTTGCCGGTTTTTTATGACGTGGATCCTTCAGATGTGAGACATCAGAGAGGGACTTATGGTGAAGCATTGGCTAGCCATGAGGAGAGGTTCAATGAGAACAAGGAGAAGGTGCATCATTGGAGGAAGTCTCTGCATTTAGCAGCTAACTTGTCTGGCTTCCGTTTCAAGCATGGGTACCCTCTCCGTCCTTTTTCCTTAATTTATTTGTTTTTATTAATTTTTCTTTGTCTAATTATTTTAAATGTTTAAATTTTAAAGTGGAAAGACATGCTTGCTTACCTTGAACAACTTACACCATTCTGTATCGAACACCTTAATTGTAACAACCTAAGACATTTATTTTACTTCACACAAACTTTTCCAATTGATCAGGGATGGATACGAATATGAGTTTATTGGGAGGATTGTCAAAGAGGTCTCCAACAAGATTAACCGTGTTCCTTTACATGTTGCTGATTACCCAGTTGGACTAGAGTCACGAGTGCTACATGTAAAGTCGCTTCTGGATGTTGGATCTGATGATGGCGTCCACATGGTAGGGATCTATGGTATAGGTGGTATTGGTAAAACCACACTTGCTCGAGCTGTTTATAATTTGATTGCTGACCAATTTGATGGTTTATGTTTTCTTCGTGATGTGAGAGAAAATTCAGTTAAACATGGCTTAGAACATCTCCAAGAGACGCTCCTTTCTAAAGTAGTTAAATTAAACATTAAGATAGGAGATGTCAATGAAGGAGTTCCAATAATAAGGCAAAGATTGTGCCAAAAGAAGGTTCTTTTGGTTCTTGATGATGTTGATGGATTGAAGCAATTACACGCTATTGTTGGAAGACCTGATTGGTTTGGTCCTGGTAGCAGAGTCATCATCACAACTCGGAACAGCCAGTTACTAGCATGTCTTGACGTTAAAAGGACATATGAGGTGAAGGAGTTGAATCAGAAAGATGCTCTTGAATTGCTTCAATGGAAAGCTTTTAAAATTGACAAGGTTAGTCCAAGTTATGTGGATGTCATAAACCGTGCAGTAACTCATGCTTCTGGCCTTCCACTCGCTTTAGAAGTAATAGGTTCCAACTTGTTTGGAAAAAGTATAGAAGAATGGAAATCTGCATTATGTCTGTATGAAAGAGTTCCTAATGCAGAGATCCAAAAGGTACTTAAAGTAAGCTTTGATGCTTTGGAGGAAGAAGAGAAGAGTGTTTTTCTTGACATTGCTTGTTGCTTCAAAGGGTTTGAATTGGTGGAAGTGGAGAATATACTTCATGCTCACCACGGTCACTGCATGACATATCACCTTGGAGTCTTGGTTGAAAAGTCTCTCATAAACATTATGTGTGGTGTGTTGACACTACATGACTTGATAGAGGACATGGGTAAAGAAATTGTCCGACAGGAGTCGCCTAAAGAGCCTGGGAAACGTAGTAGATTGTGGTTCCATGAAGATATAGTTCAAGTTCTAGAAGACAATATGGTAAGACTGACATGATTTGTTTGGTTTTTCATCTTGAATCTTGATTTGTCTCTTTGACTATTATATGCTAATGACAAGTCATTTATTTTTTTGTTTACAATCTTTTGTTTATGGTATTAGTTCCCAATGTTTTCCCTTTATAACATGTATGTCAATGTCCTAACACGCAATTTGTTTTGTTCAAAAGGGAACTAGTAATATTGAAATCATATATCTATGTTTGCCCAAATTTGAAGATGTAGTCAACTGGGATGGAAAGGCCTTCAAGAAGATGACAAACCTAAAAACACTTATTATTAGAAATGGCCAATTTTCGGAAGGTCCTAAACAATTTCCAAATAGTTTGAGAGTGCTAGAATGGCGGGGGTTTCCTTCACAGTCTTTACCATCTAATCTTCATCCAAAGAGACTTGCCATACTCAGGTTACCTGAGAGTTCCATAATGTCACTCGAGTTGGCCAAGTTACTGAAGGCAAGTATAATAGGTTATTTTCTCTGATTGTATATATCAATAAATTCATGTTATGATTATTCATTTGATTCTTGTTTCATTCTCTTTTTTCTTTTTTCATTTTCAGAAGTTCGTAAATTTAAGAGATTTGAGTTTCGAGGGTTGTAAATTTATAAAAGAGATACCTGATGTCTCTGGTGTCCCAAATTTAGAAGAAATATCAGTTAGACAATGTGACAATTTAATTAAAATTCATGAATCGGTTGGATTCTTGGATAAACTTAGAATCTTGGATGCTTGGGGTTGCGACGAGCTTAGGAGTTTTCCACCTTGCATCAAGTTGACCTCTCTTGAAGTACTAGAACTTTCGCATTGCAAGAGTCTTGAGAGTTTCCCAGAAGTACTAGGAGAGATGGAAAAAATAACAGAGTTTTTTTTATTTGGCACTCCCATAAAAAAATTTCCATTTTCAATTCGAAATCTTACTCGGCTACAAAAGGTGGAACTCTTTCGATGCGGACTGGGTCAGATAGAACTCTCAAGCAGCATTTTCATGTCACCAGAACTTGAGGAGTTGGAAGTTTCGCAATGTGAAAGGTTGCAATTATCTGAACAGGATGTTAGCGAAGAGAAACTCAGCTCAAACGTGAAAATTCTTCGTCTCAATGAATGCATGATGTCTGATGAATCCCTTCAAAGAGGTCTCTCTTGGTTTGCCAACGTGAAAGAGTTAGACCTGTCTCAGAGTAATTTCACAATTCTTCCGGCATGCATCAAAGAATTTCACTTTTTGAGGAAACTCTGCTTGGATGATTGCAATAATCTTGAAGAAATTGGAGGAATTCCACCCAACATGGAAATTCTCTCTGCCAAAAACTGCACATCCTTGACTTCCCAGTGTAGAAGCATGTTAATGAATAAGGTTCCTATTTTATTAAGTTTTTGATTTATATTTGACATTCGCATTGATTTGCTAAACCCTTGAAGTTATATATAACTAACAGGAATTGCACGAGGCTGGAGGCAAGATGTTTTACTTACCTGCAACGAATGTTCCCGAGTGGTTCGAGCATCAGAGGAGGCGACTTCCAATTTCTTTATGGTTTCGCAACAAATTCCCTGCCATATCTCTCTTTCTTAATGCTGAATTAGATCCCCACATCCAATTGATCGTCAACGGAAAGAAATATCGGCCATTTATTAATCATAGTCGTTCTGTCCATTACCCAAATGATCATATAGTAATTTCTGATCTAAAACAGACATTCTTTAATGATTTTCCGTTTGATTTTCTGTTTTTACTACATGAATGGAATCATTTGGTGCTTTCTATTTATATTGATCATGAATTTGGACGGAAGCCCAATCGTTCGTTGATGGAACAGACGTTATTCTACGTATTGGATGGATTAGGTAGCACGGAGGATATCCGATTCAACGACCCTTATATCAGCATGTCCATCAGTCCTTTGTTGAGCTTACATATTGGATTCCACATATTCAAAGAAAAAACAAGCATGAAGGATATCCGATTCAACGACCCTTATATCAGCATGTTGCTAGGAGAGAAGCATAGACTGGACACGCTAGTTGCTCAGATGAAAACAAGTAGCACCAACAGTGTTCGAGGTAAATACTAAACATGCTTGTGCCATTTCTTTCTAACTTAGCATCCATATATATTTTGGTCCATTACATTTTTGGCAATGCAAGTAACCACAAAACGAGTCCTGATGCAGTCATTACTATTTTTTTTTTTTTCTTTTAAAAAATATAAATTATTTCAAATAGGTTTTTAAGTAGTACTATAAGAGAAATTGAATGCTATTAGATTATGAATTAGTAAGAAAATGTTATTCGTAAATTTTGATTTAACGAGTATGTTTGTAAGCTATTTTGACTTAACAATTTGAAATAACTTATTCAACTAAATAATCGAAATTGGATGTGGAATTGCATCAAGAAAGACATAAAGAAGGTCATTAAGATTGGATTTGGAAAATGAAGCCGGTCAGTCTTTTTATCATGCAACTTCAAAAGTGGTTTTCAATAATGTCAAGCTTGGCTAGTCATACCATTAATGTCGGAGGTAAACAATTTGGTCTCATTTATTTCTCCTTATGTTATGATTAACGTAGTAATTTTATGCAGAGATGGAGATTTTGAGAGACTGATTTTTTTTATTTTTTTAATTTACGGTAAGAAACACATTCAGATTCAGATTTTGATATTTTAGTTAAAATTTAAACCAATGAGGTCAATTAAAATGTCAATTCCACCATGGAAGGGTGGTAATCTTTTCTTTCACGTGGATGTTTGATATATTTTAGAGCATTGACACAGGCTTTGTAGTGGTGATTGAACCCAGCTTTCCTTGTTACTAAAAGATCTTTTCCTTGGAGATTTTTTGTAAAGAACCTTGGGATACACCACCCCAAAAGCTAGCTCAAAGGGTGGGAGTGCCCAGGGCCTTATAAACTCCACATTAGTTGCTCATACAACGAATGTGGGACTATATATCTCAACACGCCCCCTCACACGAGAGCCCATTGGGCTTGAAGAGTGGACAATGCAACAGGCCCAGCCTACCTGTGCTAAGAAACGCCACAAGAGAAAGTGGGGGCGGCGAGGCTCTGATACCATGTAAAGAACCTTGGGATACACCACCCCAAAAGCTAGCTAAAAGGGTGGGAGTGCCCAAGGCCTCATAAACTCCACATTAGTTGCTCATACAACCAATGTGGGACTATATATCCCAACATTTTTCAGTGACTAGAGAGTTTGGTTTCCCTGCACTAGCTACTACCCAGTTATTTTGGTAAAAATATTGTAGAATTGATAGAATATCTTCAATCTAGCAAGAGAAAAGGTGATGATGAGTATCTCTATGAATAGTAGTTGGAACTAAACAATGCTATTGACAATCAGGACATAGAAAAGGAATAACATCCACCAATCATCAAAGCAGAGAATAACGAGAAAACAAAAGGTATAGTAAACAACAAACACCATGCGGAAAAACAAAGGAGGGAGCAGCTTGTTAAAGAAGGGAATGTTGTTCATTTTAAATTGCAATGACATAGACCTAGCAATACAAAAATTGGAAGAGAATAATGAAAAGACACGCGTCACCAATAGACACGTTACCTCAATAAACACCAGTTACACCACCAATAACAACTAATAAAGAAACCATCAATGAAGACTCATCACAACACCTATTCAATTTTCTAACTGACACAAGAAAAACAAAAGAAACAAAGAGACTTCTAAACGCTGCTGTCAATCAGTCCATGTAAAACTGATGGCCAGACATGAAATTCTATGATATTAGTGGTTAAAGTAATGTTATTCTATGGTGTTTCTACCTTTATTATCAATTTTAATTGCTTTGGTATTTCTTGTTGAATAAAGGTTAAATGTCAGTTTAATTTTAATGGATTTAATTCAACAATTTTATTTTGGTTTAAATGTTCAGTTTAATATTTTTAAGTTTCTGAAGTTATGTGAGTTTATTGTGGTGTTAAGTGTCTTTATGTTTTTCTTGTGGATTTACAAGTTTTGTAATAATTTTAAAAACTACTGTTTGAATGTGAAAGATACAACTTCTGCCTTAGTGTAAAACATCTCTGTTTCTTTACTCTTCTCCCAACAAATTGGTATCAGAGCCAATGGAGAGCCAATGGAGAGTGTGACCAGTAATGTGCCGCTACTGCGACTAACGAAGGCGAACTACGAGAATTGGAGCATCCAAATGAAAGCTCTTCTCGGGTCTCAAGATGGTTGGGAGGTGGTTCAAGAAGGTTTCGAAGAACCGGCAACTACCGCGGGATATACGACAGCTCAAAATAAGGCGTTGAAAGAGACGCGATCGAAAGATAAGGCGACATTGTACATGTTGTTCCGAGCCGTTGACGAGTCAGGCTTTGAGAAGATTGCAAAAGAAGCGTGGGACATTTTGGCAAAAGGGTACAAAGGAGCTGATCGAGTTAAACAAGTCCGCCTTCAAACTCTTCGCGGCGAGTTGGAAGGCATGAAGATGAAGGAGTCGGAAGGTGTCTCCGACTACATCACGCGTGTTCAAACCGTGGTGAACTAACTCAACCAAAACGGAGAAGCATTAACCGATGCACGAGTTGTGGAGAAGATTTTGAGGTCATTAACCGACAATTTCGAGAATGTCGTATGTGCCATAGAAGAATCAAATGGCCGATATTTCAAATGGATGTCAAGTCGCATTCTTGAATGGTGTGCTCGAAGAAGTCTACATCGAACAACCACCCGAGTACATGAAAATCGGAGAAGAAAATGAGGTGCTGAAATTGAAGAAGGCGCTTTACGGGTTGAAGCAAGCACCACGGGCATGAAATACTCGTATTGATACTTACTTTAAGGAGAATAGGTTCCAGCAATGTCCCTATGAACATGCTCTTTATGTGAAGAAGAGTTGAGCTAATATGTTATTTGTGGCTCTTTATGTTGATGACCTCATCTTTAGGGGGAACAAAGTTGGGGCAACAACTCGGTGCAACTGACGCTCTCGACATGTGAAGTTGAGTATGTGGCAGCCGTCTTGGTGTGTATGTCATGTGATATGGCTCATAAATCTGTTGGGCAAGTTGGGGCAACAACAACTCGTGCAACTGTGATACGAGTTGACAATAAATCAGCAATTGAGTTGGCAAAGAACCCGGTGAATCATGAGAGAAGCAAACATATCGACGTTCGTTTTCACTTCATTCGAGATCATGTGAAGGAAGGAAGTGTGGAATTAGTACACGTGGCAAGTCGGGACCAAGTCGCGGATATCTTCACGAAACTGCTATCGATGGTACTTCTTGATCAGAATGAAGGATGGCAGAAACATTTAAGTTTACGGGAGAGTTTTGTTGAATAAAAGTTAAATGTCAATTTAATTTTTAATGGGTTTAATCCAGCAGTTTTATTTTGGTTTAAATGTTCAGTTTTATGTTTTTAAGTTTCTGAAGTTATGTGAGTTTATTGTGGTGTTAAGTGTCTTTATGTTTTTCTTGTGGAGTTACAAGTTTTGTAATTTTAAAACCTATTGTTTGAATGCGAAAGATACTACTTCTGCCTTAGTGTAAAACATCTCCGTTTCTTACTCTTCTCCCAACATTTCTTGTGTTGCAGATACCGATTCCAGCAGAAAATTTCTATGTCCTCTAATAGAAACACCCCAAGAACCCGTTGTTACAAGTGCCCATGAGGACCATGACCGAGAGCTAATGCTCCTGAAGAAGGGAAAAGGAAAATTAGATGAGAATGGAAATCTTGCGCTGGTATGCCTAAAAGTTTTACTTTTTTGCAACTTAGCCATGTGACCTCGTTAATCTTGTATCTTAGCATTTCAAATTTATGCTCTCAGGAATCAAGTACCATTGCACCAACTGAAGCAGAGACCAGTTTTCTGTCGCATCTGCTAGACACTCGAGAGTTTCTCTTTCGTTGCTGTGATAAAATCCAGGAAGTAAGAATGTTCAAAAAAAATATAAAAATAAAAACCCAGGAAGCATTGCCTCTTCTGTTACAACCCAGACATTCTGCATTGATGAAAGATACTCTAGATTACCTCCTCAGTTTGCCAATGGATGCAGTTTCTCATACAAAAAAAATTGTAATACTGGAACTTTCAGAATTGTTTGCTCAGTTGAGTTTGGATTATAAAAATGCAAGGCTGAAACATGAGTTAACAGCTGCAGTTCTATCCAAAGCTAACAAAGTTAAAAAGGATATTGAAGCTAATGTGAAAGACTTGGGAGAAGTGGAGACATTGGAAAACTATTTCAACAATCAGTTGGCCTGTTTGCAGGAAAAGAATGGAGAACTAGAAGAGCAGATCAAAGACATAAAAGCTGAGATTGTATATTTGACACAAGAGACAGACGCTATTGTTAGCAATAAAAGATTGCCTGAAGCTGAAAGTGATGACTTGAGTGCAGCTGAAAGTGATGACTTGAGTGCAGCTGAAAGTGATGACTTGAGTGAAGCTGAAAGTGATGACTTGAGTGCAGCTGAAAGTGATGACTTGAGTGCAGCTGAAAGTGATGACTTGTGTGAAGCTGAAAGTGATGACTTGTGTGAAGCTGAAAGTGATGACTTGAGTGCAGCTGAAAGTGATGACTTGAGTGAAGCTGAAAGTGATGACTTGAGTAAAGCTGAAAGTGATGACTTGAGGAACCAAGTGACAAGGCTGAAGGTTGAGCTGGTCCGGGCAGAGGAAACACAAGCTAATATTGAAGCAGATTGGTTCCGATTTGGAAAATATTTAATTGACATGATTATGATCGAGTGGGTGTCAAAACCTGTGACGTGTGAGAGAGAGACCTGCGTGCTGGGTGGTGGTTCTGATTGAAACATGTATATACTTTGTTCTTGCATAAAATGTAGAGTTTTTAGATAAGTGAATAACACTTTGGGAGTAACATATTACCTGTAACTCAGATACAATACCTTTGAGCCACGAGGCTTCTTTTACTTCTTCTGTTATTGCCACATATTCTGTTTCCTTGGTTGACAATGCTATTATAAGTTGGAGATTAAACTTCCGACTAACCACATTCCCACCAATAGTGAATATATACCCGATTAGAGACCTTATCTTATCACGGTCAACAGCATAGTCAGAGTCACAAAGCCTTTAACTGCAAAACCATCAGATTCTTTTGCGTCAAAATGTAAACAGAAATTACAAATACCATTCAAATACCTAAACACCCACTTATCAGCATTCCAATGTAGTTTGCAAGGTTTACACTCAAGCCTACTAAGTACATGATAGGATCCAAATAACAGATTTGGGAAAAAAGAAAAAATACAGAAAAGAAACCACTGGTATAATATTGATTGAACAATACAAGATTATATGATGGCATTCATTCTAAGGCAGGTCATAGACATTCTATGTGGAATCACTTGCAGAATGTCTTCCACCACAAAAATAAGCATGGGGTGCTAACAAAACAAAAAGTTGAGAAGACAAGGAGAAGGAGAGGGGCTATTACTAAAGTGTTGGCTTGTTGCCTCACACAAACCAGGTTGGGCAGTTTCACAGACCTGTGGAAGGGCTCCTGAGACACATCCGGCATTCGAAGAAACCAAATCCTTCCAAGCTTGGTGGGGTGAAAGGATCAAGGTATACCCCCACATGGACATAGTCTGAAGAAGCTGCATTGGTGGCAAATCCTTCGCCGACACCGGGGTGTGAAACTGAAAAACAGAGGCCAAGTTAAAATGGGGTTTATAAGCCAAAAATCACTGAGGCAGTTTCCTTACGTTTTATTGCTTACTCGAAACTGATTCTTGTATTTAAATTAAAGGTTTAGGGTACTTTTAGAACTTGGCTTTAGATATTTAACTTTGTGTAGCCTTCAATGAAGATAGATTGAGTATTTGAACTTGTTTATATGTTTCTCTGAACCAGTGTTAACTGTTGCATATTTTACTTATTATCCTAATAAAATCTATCCGTTTAGGTAGCAATCTCAATTTTATCTTTGGTCTAGACCTTTCAGTTTTCGTTCAAAACTGGTGACTGGCCATCTTGATAATTTATCTTCCTCAAGCCATCAATATATTTGAGAATTCTTAAGGTGGAACAAAAGGCTTGTTTAAAGGAAAAAGGTCAACGGCTCAACGCCCTTTTACTTAATATCCTAATTAAAAAGGCCAAGCAAATGAGAAGACAGAAAGTAACTATTCCATCATTCATCATTGTTAGAAACACATGGTATAGGAAGCTCTTACATGTATCAGTCTTTTATGCTTCCAAAGGCCAATAATCTGAACCTGTTGTTAGAATAATATAGCATGTCCTCTTTTAGACAGATAACAAATAGACAAGTTGAGATTTACAGGGAAAAGAATGCATAGGATAACTAAATCCCAATCATAGGGCATCATTTGTGGCGCTAACACAACATGTAATTTTATTTCAAGCAGCAAAAAAAGTAAAATAAAATAACTTGAAGAAACAAGTGCACATTAACTTAACATGTGTGTTGCAGCTTCTTTGATGGGAGAGTGGTGAAAGGGCCTTCATCGTCAACCATGTTAACTGCTTGCCAATTTGTAGGCCTCAGAAGTCAGAATGTGATCCACTTTCTCCCATGTTTGTAGGAACAGAGGAGATTGAACCTGCGTGTTTTGTACCAAGAATTTATACTGTTTGGTTACGTATGCAGCAGTTTGTGTAGTATGAGAACCACAATTATTAACACAGTAATGTGAACCGCATGTCTGTGCAACATGGCTTAAAATTTAATTACATGTTGTATGGTGAAAGCCTAAATGAAAATTCTTTTGATTTATGCGTTCCTGGAGTAGCAACTATAATTATGTATTTGCATACTTATAGCGAAAGCCTAAATGTTAATTATCTTAGGAGGTTGCCCCATTATCAACAAAGGATACACTTTTTTTTTGTTATTGTTACTGCATCTTATTTCTGCTGACTATCTTAGGAGTTCACCCCATCATCAACAAAAGATACACTTTTTTAAGACTTGAAGAAATGGTTGTGTAACACCCCGTTTTAGAACCGGTTTGTTAACATCGCATTATGATATTAAGCGCAGTTACAATCACATTGGTTCAATTAGAAATCCGGATAAATTTTTCTTTTTGAACAAAGCCGAATTTAAAATACCCAATTGCGTGATTATAACCATATTACGTTGCGGAATAAAATAAACTAAGCTTAACATCATATTCTTATTTCATTAGACCACGCGTTGTTAAATATCTTCATCTCTTTTATTATTATATGAATAAAATACTTCCTATATAGTCCTCATAATCTACTATGTTCTAGATCTCTTTGTTAGCTTCGAGTGGGTTCAAACCGCGCTCAAATCGGAGCTCTGTAGCTCGATTCATGCTAGTTTTACTAAACTAAGTTTTTGCTGATTTTTCGAATTGAGCGTTTTGGCGCCCAACTGAGCGTTTAAACGCCCAGAAACAGAAAGATTTGCCTTCTCCAGGTCTCCAGAGCGTTTTGGCGCCCAACTTTCGCGTTAAAACGCCCACTTGAGCGTTTTGGCGCCCATTCTCACGTTAAAACGCCTAAGGGCAGAGACTTTCCTCCATTTTACGAACATAGCGCGTTTTAGCGCCCATTTCAGCGCTAAAACGCTCTCCAGCTGGGCCAAACATGCCTCCCCTGTTTCATATACTCTCTTGAGGAATTTCCTCCCTTTTCACCATTCTCTTAACACCTAATAGGCAATCTTACATCATATCATGCTTCAATAGTTACATCATTTTCATAATTCATTATATAATCCCAAAGGATCAAATATAATTCAACATTCCATTATCTACCTTCAACAATCCTTTTACAATCTAAAGGATAAAGACATGATTCATATTACATCCATATTCAAATATACAATTACATCATTGTTCTTCAAAAGGATTACATACCAAAGACTTAGAAATAACAATTGATCAAAGTCCCAAAATGGTGCACAATGGCTAAACAACATCAATGATCAACTTCTAAGTCCTATATGCATTCATATACAACTAATGCATCAAAATATCCTATACATAGGTTTTCTACATGTAAGGAATCTCAAAATGTCATATGTCAGGTACCATCTACTCATGCTTCTTGCCTCGGTCAACCTCACCTCTATCAGTACCTGAAAGGATGCCCCACAACATGGGGTGATATATACGAATATATCAGAGTAAACCTAGGGTCCTTGGAGATCACTCCACCCTAAGGTTCACTTTCGATGAACATATGATCATAACAGCTTAACACATTCTCATCCATTAACATCACATGGACTTTCAAGAGAGATCCACAAAGGGCTGTTTATCTTAGGCTCTTACCACATGGAGATCCACCTAGGGCTGTTTCCAAGGGAAGTCCCTAACCTCAATCTAGGAACCTCCAAGAGAGATCCACATAGGGCTATTTCTCTTAGGCTCTTACCACATGGAGATCCACATAGGGCTGTTTCCAAGGGAAGTCCCTAACCTCAATCTAGGAACCTCCAAGAGAGATCCACATATGGCTATTTTTCTTAGGCTCTTACCACATGGAGATCCACATAAGGCTGTTTCCAAAGGAAGTTCCTACCAATCATCCTCATCATAAATCTATCAATCATAACCTCAATCATAATCCTCAACCATTACCTCATTCATTATTTTACATCTATCAACCATTCCTTAATTACTCTTAAACAATCAAACATCAATCAATAATCATTAATCAAACATAACATTTATCAATGCATGAATCAATGCATGAGCATACAATTACTATCATCATTACATGTCACGCCTCATAAACCATTCCTCCTCAACGGAGTATGATGGAACATTCAAGGGGATTAACCCCAAGGTTCAAAGGTTTACCTTGCACTTGAACCTTTCTCAAAACTTTCCTTTCCTCAATTGAACACAACCACAAGGGTTGGTCACTCCACTTGGTCCTCTTGCCTCAATCCACAATAGGTCACACAACCAAGAAATAGAGGTCTCCTAAGCTCCCATGGATGAAAATGCCCCTAAACTCCTCAAATCTTCAAGGAACTCAAAATCTTTGGAGGAAGGGATCTCTCTCCACAAAGCTTCCCACTCAAAACTAAGCTAGGATTTGGAATGAGGAGAAGATTCTCTACATTTTTGGCTTTGGAACAGATGAATTTCGTTGAGAGATGAGGGAGCTAGGGTTTGAAGCTCAAATGATCTCTCCCTCTCTTTTCTCTTTGTGAAGCGTCGAAGAAGAAGAAGAAAATGAGGAGTTTTTTGTGTTTTTAACACTTAAGTAAGGTTGAGTAATTTCAACTGGGTAAAAGTTTATCTATCTAATTAACTCCATTCACTTCGAAACTTTACACGAAGTTCTGAAATATTTTTCTAGGAATATTTTTAACTTTACTTTTATATTTTGGGTACTTTTGCCTATACTCATTTATACCCCTTAATTCTCACTGACTGCACTTTTTACCTCCGAATTGCCCTTAATTCCCACTGACTCCATTCAGATTCCTGATAGACTTTCAAAACTGATCATGGCAGCTGTCACTTCTCCAAAAACCAATATTATTTGGAATGGTAAGTTAACAGAGAAATTCCAACCAAGCAGAGGCGTCAGACAAGGAGATCCGATCTCTCCTTACTTGTTTGTCTTGGCAATGGAGAAGCTTTCTCATATCATTGATACAGCAGTGAATGGGAATCTTTGGAAGCCAATAAGAGCTGGTAAGGGTGGACCCAAAACATCTCACCTCCTATTTGCGGATGATTTGATGCTTTTTCTAGAAGCTAATGAGGATCAACTTAATATCCTTTTCAGATGTTTGAATTTGTTTGGAGACATTTCTGGGCAAAAGGTGAATGTCCAAAAATCTTCTATTTATTTCTCAAAGAACACTCCAGATGAGTTAGCTACTAAAATCACAGAACAGAGTGGATTCAAAAGAGTAACAAATATAGGAAGATACTTTAGAACAATGATACATCATGGTAGAGTTACTAAAAATTTATTTGCTGGTATAGTTGAGAGAGTTAAAGAAAGATTATCTAGCTGGCAATCCCAATCTCTCTCTCAGACGGGCAGAGTGATTCTTTCTCAATCTGTGTTTTCTACTATGCTGTATTACTTCATGCAAAGCAATATGATTCCTAAAGCTGTCTGTAATGAATTGGAACAGCTTCAAAGAGAATTTATATGGGGTGATACAGAAAGAAAGAAACATATGCATCTTATTGGTTGGGACACAATTACAAGACCAAAAGCAGATGAAGGGCTGGGATTGAGAAAATTAAAGTCATGAATGAAGCCTTCTTGGGAAAACTAGTTTGGAATTTTGTTAATGATCCTGATCAGCTTTGGGTGAAGGTATTAAAAGCTAAGTACACAAATTCATCCAATACTCAGACTGATTTAACTTGGAAGAATGGAAATTCTCGTCTTTGGAAATTTATGTGTGATGTTTGGAATAAGCTTAAACCCAAGCTGGTTTGGGATGTGGGTGATGGATCTTCTGTTCTTTTTTGGGAAGACCTTTGGGTGAACATTGGGGAAAAATTTGCAAACAAAGCTATTGCTCAAATTTCCCCAACAGAGGCTGTTAAGAGAGTAATTGATTATGTTACTCATGATGGAACTTGGGATTGTGAGATTATATCTAATTTTCTTCCTGATGATTGTGTTCAAATTATTAGAAGCATGCTGCCTCTTCATGAATCTAATGGTATGGACAGAAAATGGT